ACAGAAATCTGCCAGGGTCTCCAACATGGATGTTTGGGACCCAAGTACTTGAACCACCACCTGCTGCTTCCCAGGGTGTGCATTGGCAGGAGGGTGAAGCGCAAGAGGAGTGAATCACAAGAAGAGACAGGAATCAAACCTGGCACAGCAATATGAGATGTTGATGTCCAAGTGATGTTTTTTTTTTGTTTTGTTTTGTTTTTTTTAAACTTTTATTTAATGCATATAAATTTCCAAAGTACGACTTATGGATTACAATGGCTTCCCCCCCATACCGTCCCTCCCACCCACAACCCTCCCCTTTCCCCCTCCCTCTCCCCTTCCATTCACATCAAGATTCATTTTTGATTATCTTAATATACAGAAGATCAGCTTAGTATACATCAAGTATGGATTTCAACAGTTTGCTCCCACACAGAAACATAAAGTGAAAAATAATAGATGATTTTTTTTTAAATGATGATGAAATCAGAGCAGACCTATTGTCATGTTTAATCCCAGTGAGAGTCAAGTTGGGAATTGATAATTACTTTTTTTTTTTTTTTAACAGAGGATCAGTTTAGTATGCATTAAGTAAGGATTTCAACAGTTTGCACCCCCATAGAAACACAAAGTGAAATATATTGTTTGAGTACTCGTTATAGCATTAAATCTCAATGTACAGCACATTAAGGATAGAGATCCTACATGAGGAGTAAGTGCACAGTGACTCCTGTTGTTGACTTTACCAACTGACACTCCTGTCTATGGCATCAGTCTGCACCAAATACTCATCACAAATGGCTTTTTTAAATTAATCTTTGAGAGTAAAAAGTCTTTCTCAGGCAGATGACTAAAATTTGGACTTACAATTAAAAATATTCATACGTCAAATAATACCATAAAATAAAAGATAATATGACAGAATGAAAGAATACATTTTGTATGCATACAGAAAACAAGTTGAAAGGTTTCCATAAGTCAAAAAGTTGGATAATTCAATAGAAAAATACACAAGGGATTCAATGAGGAAATTCACTGAACTATAAATATAAATGGACAATGAACATTGAAAAGATGATCATTTTATTTATTTATTTATTTTTTTGACAGGCAGAGTGGACAGTGAGAGAGACAGACAGAGAGAAAGGTCTTCCTTTGCCGTTGGTTCACCCTCCAATGGCCGCCGCGGCCGGCGCGCTGCAGCCGGTGCACCACGCTGATCCGTTGGCAGGAGCCAGGTACTTATCCTGGTCTCCCATGGGGTGCAGGGCCCAAGGACTTGGGCCATCCTCCACTGCACTCCCTGGCCACAGCAGAGAGCTGGCCTGGAAGAGGGGCAACCAGGACAGAATCCAGCACCCCACCAGGACTAGAAGCCGGTGTGCCAGCGCCGCAAGGCAGAGGATTAGCCTAGTGAGCTGCGGTGCCAGCCAAAGATGATCATTTTTTTAATTTCTAAGGCAAAAGAAACAGTTACATATGAATTTTTGCCTATATATTACAAATTTTGTGATTTTTCACACTCAGGAAAGTTGAAAATTGGTAATTCAGTCCATTGCTGAGGTGTAAAGTAGTAAAACTTTTTAAACAACAGTTTGACAATTACCTATTAAAATTAAAAAGCCGCAATCCTATTACTCAGATGCATCTCCTCTAAGAAAATATACTAAATATTCAACATGTACACAGAGATATATGTTTGAGGAACGTTTTGACAGATTTTGTTTAAAATAGGAAAACAGGTCAACACAAAGTAGTCCAACAGTCCATCTACGTGGAGGATACAGATGGAGCAGAGACATGGAAATCCAGCTGAAAGAGGTGTAGAATCAAAAAAAGATTTAAAATGGAAAAAAAAGTTATAATCAAGCTATTGCTCCAAACTAATAGTCCACTTATAATGCAATACTTTACAGCTATTAAAGTGATGATTTAGAACATTTACTTAAGGGGCCAGCTCCGTGGCGCAGCAAGTAAACCTGCCACCTGCAGTGCCGGCATCCCATATGGGCACCAGTTCAAGTCCCAGCTGCTCCACTTCCAATCCAGCTCTCTGCTATGGCCTGGGAAAACAGTAGAAGATGGTGTAAGTGCTTGGGCCCCTGTACCTGCGTTGGAGACCTGGAAGAAGTTCCTGGCTCATGGCTTTGGATCGGCCCAGCTCCGGGAATTTTGGCTATTTGGGGAGTGAACCAGGGATGGAAGAAACCCCTCTCTCTCTCTCTCTCTCTCTCTCTGCCTCTGCCTGTCTGTAAGTCTGTCTTTCAAATAAATAAATAATTTTTAAATGCGTTAACAATGAATATTGCCTTAATTAGGAAAAGGTTCATGTCATGTTGATGAGAATGAGGTTACAACATCATACATACGCTCAGGATAGCCCATTTTGCAGTATACACACTGCAAGGGAGGGGCACACACCAACAGGTGAGCAATGGACATCTCTGGGGATCGGGAGAGGTTTTAGGAAAGGGAGTTACAAGATAATTTATTCTTTTTACTTTTGCTTCCAATTTTTCCATAGTAACAATTAACTTTTGTAATTAGGAAAAGGGAAGTTTAATAACAACAACAAAATGAAGTCAAGAGAGGAAGAAGGATTCCTGAACTGAGGCAGAGTGCTTTATTTTCTTTCTTAGCAAGCCCCAACGACCTACAGGGAAATACTTTTATTTTATACATACAAGTGTAAGATGCTTGAAGTTCATCGATGAGGCATCCACTGTACCACCCACACCCACATCCATTAATCTCTTATTTGGGAGGTTTGGGAATCTGTATGGCAGAATCTGTGAAATCCACATTTTGCTATCAATCTTAACCCCAGGGGTTTCAGAAAATAGCATCAATGAAATGTGCTAACCCTGGGCTTGGGAAGCAATCATTCTAAAAAGCATGTTTCCTTTTTATTAAAAAGAAAAGCAAAGAATGAATAGATGTTTCAGCTGTTATATATAAAAATACTTTTTAATTTAAAAAAGTATAATGGGCAAAGAATATAATGCACTATAAGAAAATGTTAAGGTTATAAGCTTGTGTGACCATGCATTAAAAAAAAAAAAAAAAAACTCCTAAAAACTGTGACCATCCAAGGGTTTCTGTCTGAATGGGTCTTTGATTCCAGTGAGTTGGCACAGTGAAAGATGCCTGGCATTGTCCTGACATCACACCGGGGTGAAAACACAGAGTTCTGCTGACATCAATGCAATGTACTACAATCTGTTTTCTATATCCTGTGCAGGTGTTCTGAAAGGACCCCATTGGAGGAAATGCTAAAAAAAAAGGACGAGTACTCACTGAGGCAAGAAAATCCCTGTACTGAAAAGAGCAAGCACAAAGGCATTTAAATTTCCTAGGAAAAGCTGAAGTCTACTTAGAAATGTGATGGTAACATTAAGCATACTAACAGAAAGAAGTTTTTGAAGAGAACATACTAAACACTCTTCCTGTGTCACACCTTTTTATGCAAACTCCATACATCCTGGCATAATGCAGTATACTTAAAAAAGTTAGTTTGTCAGGAAGTCTGTTTGCAATGAACCTCGGCAGATCAAGAGAAATTTAATTGTAGACATTTCATCTCTCACTCTATTCTATTGTTATCATGCCTCCTGGTCTTAATCAAGAGTATCTTTATTTGAATTCTTATCAGTGATCAGTGAGTATTCTTGTGGACGTGATGGACTGTCCATCATAATCCAGAAACTAAACAGAGTATTACCAGATGAAGGTGTAGACGGTACTATGGATAGTGTGGGGCAAAATGAAAATAATGGAAAACCACCACACAAGTAAGGGACAGACGCAAAGGGCAGACTCCAAGAGGCCGAGGATACTGAATATTCAAGTGTAAGAAGATCTCAGAATGGAGATGCACAAAGGAAGCTGCTCAGCAAAATCAGTTCTCTCAGCCATGTGAATGCATTAGCCTCCTGTGACCTTCACATTGTGCACAACAGGAGCTCCAAAGGAATTCAGGGAATTTGAGTACTTCACCATTTGCTACTTAATTCAGCTTATTCATAGGCTCACATAGATATTAATTAAAAATAGTATAATATAGCATGCTCAAATTAACACTGGCTCCATTATATACAAGTGACACAATGAGTGACTTAGAGTTATATATGCTACTTGCTTTCTTTTATGAGCATATCCACATAGTACAATACACATCTTGTATAACAGCAATTCTATACTAAAATGTGTAAATAAAGGAACCGTGTAAGAATGAGACAAGTCATTAATAAAAGTGTTCTGCAGTTTGAGTTTTAACTTGATTAATGAACATCACTGCCAGAGAAAATGAGACATGAATTTTCCAAAATCTTTTAACTGAGCAAAATATTTTTTAAAAACATAAAGTGCATTAGTTTAACTATTTTAGAGTATATAATTCATTAATATTAAGTCTGGGGTACACCAAAAAGTACATGAAAATGAAATTTAAAACATTATTTTGAAAATTGCTGAAATACATTCAAGATTTTTAAAATTTTTATTACTATAAAAAGAACAGATTAATATGCATTTTCCACTAACCTTCTAATAAAAAACTATGCATGGGGGGAAGCTATTGTAATCCATAAGCTGTACTTTGTAAATTTATGTTCATTAAATAAAATAAAAAAACTATGCATAAATTTCAACATATTTTTGCACCAAAATAAACATCTTTTTAAAGAGGATAAGTTTCACATATTTTCTAATATTTATTTATGTTCCTTTATCTTTTTTCATTTCATTTGTTTGTTTATTGGAAAGGCAGAATGAAGAGACAGAGAGAGAGATCTTCAATCCACTCGTTCATTCCCCAAATGCCCACAACAGCGGAGGCAGGGCCAGGCCAAAGCCAGGATCCTGGAATTCAATCCAGGTCTCCTGTGTGGGTGACAGGGACCTGTTGCCATCCGGGGTGTGCTGCAGAAGGAAGCTGGATCACAAGCGAAGACAGACCTCACATCCAGAAACACTGATATGCGATATGGCTGTCCCAAATGGTGGCTTAACCACTATACTCCTAAACTTACCTTTTAATCCCATTTTCCACATATTTTTGAAGTATCTTCTTAAATTCACGTTGTTGGACAAACATCACCACCATCTATTTCCAGAAAGCTTTCCTCTTCTCACACTGAAAACAAAAACTACCCCTAGTAAGAAATTCTAAACACAGGAAGAATATCAACAAATGTTAAAAAAAAATCATTTAGCAAGTCAAAATTACAATAAAGAAAAAAGGCTGTGATGTGACATATTTCCCAAACTATACATATAATAACCTCTTTTGTGATTTTTTTGCTGTGTTTTAACATTTTTATCAATTAGTACTTGAATTAATTTAATATTTATCATGTAAGTAGCTTCCTGTCTTCATTTCACCCACACATCCAGGAAACGCAGTCATCAATTATCACCTTGGTCCAAAGGGCCTTATTTTTCATGTTTAAATCAGTCTAGCAATAATTTACAGGGGTGGGCATCGTGAAGCAGCAGGTTAAACCAGCACTTGAGAGGTCTGCATCCCATAATGAAATGCCTAGATTAAGGCCCATCTCAGCCCTCTGATCCAGCTTCCTGCTACTGCACCTGGGAGGCAACAGGCGACGGCTCAAGTACTTGAGTCCCTGCTACCTATGTGGTCCTGGCTCCAGACTTCAGCCTGGCCTGCCCCTCCTGGCTGTCGTGGGCATCTGAGGAGTAAACCAGTAGATGGAAAACCTGCTTCTCCTCCCTTCTGATTCTCTGCCTTTCAAATAAATTATTTTAAATAAATAAATAATTTACAAAAGAATAAAAGGATACTAAAAAGTTTATTTAGAATTTCGTAAGAAAGTAAACAGAGCAAACCTCATTGTATCAGGTGTATTTTGGTGCGCAAGCATCATAAAAGATAAAACAATACTGCCACATATCTTTTCTGTGAGTCTTGTCACAAACACTGCTATCTGAAGTCCTTCCTGGTTAAATGACAAATTGAATAAAAATACCATATTTTATGTGGTGTCCCTAGAAATATACTGTACAGTCTTCTGGCTTTTAGCTTAAGATTAACATTCCCAGCATCACTCAAACCTGGGACACTTCTGTCTGCCTCTGAGTATTTATCTTTGATTACTTTTAAAATTTTGAACTGGATTCCTTTATGTATGTCTGCCCTTGGTCATTTGGACAGAAAATGTAAACTTTTAAGTTCTCAGCTGTTTCACTGAAAGCTAAAATCAGACCACAAAGTGTTCTCAGTCTCCTCTTACACCATTCTTGAAAGATGATGCAATACTTTGAGCAATATGATTAGAAGATGGTGATTTATTTTATTACTATAGCATTATCCTACTGCTTCAAATGTGTGTATTATGTGATTCTTATGTTCTCTTATTATTTAAGTCTGCTTCGCCTACTTGTTAATAACTGATTAGTGATAATGAAATAATTCCCTAAGACAATGAAATAGCACAGGGTTCCAAGATATTTTTAAAAATCACTAAGACCTCATAGTGTATCTAGATTTAAAAATATTTAATGGACTCAGATTGAATTGGAATTTTTTACTGTTAAAATAATGGTAAATTTTCCCTTTTTTCTTTAGAGCGCTTCAAAGAAATAACGAAAGTAATAAAGCATCAGCCCCTATAAACAATTACAACTTCAAAAATATACTCCAAAATTCAAGTCAAACCAAATGGGCCTTGAGATGGTGTACCAATGAAATAGATTTAGTATCACTGACATAATTAGAAAACCAGTAACACAGTTTCAGTTAGAATTGTGTCTTATAACTCACCTATAGCAACAATGGCTTAAATAAATAAGTCTCATGCAAATGTCATCCAGAGATCGACAGTCTAATCTTAGGGATAGTGGTATCATGGTCATTAGGGAACAGGATCCCTCTATTGTTCTGCTCTGCCATTCTTAGCATGAATGTTTTGTTCTCAAGATCACCTCACAGTCTAATTCAGCTGCTGTTGCTCCAACCATCTCATCTATATGAGAAACAGGAAGAATGGAGGATAAGATTCATCTCATAGATGAATCAGCTTCTGATTAGCATCTTTTCCTGATAAACAGAAAAGGGCATTTCTATTTATCTCTTGGGCCAGAATTAAGATACATGACTATATCTAGGTGCAAGAAAGGCTGTCTTACAGTCCTTTAGTTAGTATATTGCCACTACCAATAATAAAATGGTTCTATTGGTGAAGAAGAAGAGACTCATGAATATTGGCTAGACAGCCAATAGTTTATGCTACAGCTACAGAAAAACACAAGGTGACCACATACATATGCATGAAAACAAAATAACATTATTAAACTTTATAGATATTGTTGATAACTGAAGTTCAAAACCCAAAAGCATTTCTCTGTTGATTAAAAAGCAAAAATATCTACTACCAGAAAAATGTTTTTCTCTTTGATCTCAATCAAATGAACTGAAAGTGACAACTATATTGTCCAAAATGATTCAGTAATTTAGTGATTTGGTATTATTTAATGTCACAGTTACAGTAGCATTTAAAAGTCAGACCCTAAATGAAAAGTGATGTGCATCTCACACTTTGGGAAAGGCTGAGATCATGAAAGGAGATTAGAAAGGTAAACAGAATAGAGAGAAAAGACGTTGCTAAGCCAAAGAATCCTAAGTGAGAATTTTGGAATTTTTAAATTTCTATTTATTTTTGCCTTGGAATTGACACATAATAAATTGTACATATCTATAGGGTACAGTGTGGTGACTGAATAAATGTGTATAATACATAAAAATCAAATCAAGATAATTAGAATGTCTTTCTCTTTATCATGTCTTTGTGTTTGGAGCCTTTCAACTCCTTTCTTCTAATTCTTCATAAAATACACAATAGATTGTTGTAAGTTATAGTCACCCTAGTTTGCTGTGAAATTCTAGAACTGATTCCTGCTAACTGTATGGTGTACCTGTTATCCCACCTACCTCTGCGCTCCCCACCCCCATCCTTCCTAGCCATTAGTAATCACTATAAAATTGGGAATTTATCCCTAAAATGGCATTTGGATGTTACCTAGTCACAGAATCATAACCTTATAAAATTGAAAACTATTTCAGAAGAAATTTTGAATACTGAGTATGAAAATTCTTTAAAAAAAGATTTCTTTATTTTTTGAAAGTCAGAGTGACACAGAGAAAGGGAGAAACAGAGGGATCGTCCATCCTCTGGTTCACTCCCCAGATGGTTGCAACATCCAGTGGTGTGCCAGGCAGAAGTCAGGAGCCAGGGGCAATGGCCCAAGCACTTGGGCCATCTTCCACTGTTTTCTAAGGCCATTATCAGGGAACTGGATCAGAAGTAGAGCAACATAGCGCTGGCTACCAGGATGCGATAGCTCTTTTTATAACATCTTGGGCTACTTGCTAGCTTTACTTCAGCCCTCTCACTGAAGGAGCTAATAATTGAGGATGGAGCAAATAATTGGCAACCAAACCCACTTTTAAACATTTGTAATCCTAGAAAAATGTTCCTTTATGTGGAATTTTTTCAACTTCTAATACAATTTATCCTATTTGCCCTCTGGCTCTATATAGAAAAAGTAATTTACTATTTTTTCATGTATAAATCCTGCATAAATTTTATTTATTCATTTTATCCATTTATAATTTCCACTTATTGTTGTTCATCATGAAGAGCCATTTGAACACATTTTTACATAAAAATACAATCTACACAAATAAAGAGCACTTTAACTCTTCCTCAATCCTGCTATTCATTCACTACCAAAGAGAGCCATTAATTATCAGCTTGTTATGAATTATTCCTTATCTTAATCTCTTTATGCATGTAGGCAAATAGACCATTTTGCTTTGCAGGTTCTCTTCATAAACTATAACACATGAATCTTATATCCCTGTGCCTTTATTTCAACTAGATAAATCCTGATGATCTCCTCACATCAGAACTTACAGATCTTCTTATTTCATTTTAACTACCGCATGGTAATCCATGGTTGTATCTTAGATACATCTTAACCATGATAAACCCTTAGGATAGTTCCAACTTGAGGCAATTAATCAACCTTAGAAGTGTCTTTCCCTATGTAGTTTTCTCAAAATTACAAACAAATTACCATTTTTTAAAAAATTAATCATGCCAAACTGCTAAGCAACACAACTATGATATCTTATACCAACTCACAGAAAATTGGACCCTCAATTTCCTCACACTGTCTATCAAATACTATCAGTATTTGCATCTTTTCTCAATCTGAAATAACCAGGCAGGGTTTTGAAGTTATATGCAATATTTCTATAAAATCTTTTTTTCTTCAAGCTTAGGCCTTGTACATCAAGCCACCTTCATAGGTCAAGGTTTCTAGACATTCTGTTATCTCGGCTTGCCTCCTGGAGATCGTCTATATCTCAATGGCTGTCTTAATACATATTTCCAAGAACTGATAATCGTGGTACAAGCAAGTGTAGTTTGACCTGACCTATCTACTAAATAAGACTATTACCTACCTTGTTCTGAACTGGTAGATCTTCATATTTTGTGAGTCACTGTTCTCAATAAGACTGTAATAAAAAGAATGAAGCCTTTATCCGGAAAGAAAAACACATGTACATGCGATACATGTGTACAGTGTGAGAAGTTTCATGAACCACAGACCCAAGGCCACTCACTCATTAATGCAGCCCCAAGTCACATTTATATTTTAGTAGTGACATCACATTGTTGATTCACAGTAAATTTGCTGTCAATGTCTCCAATCTTATTTACATTAACTACTCCATCTCTATTTTTTACTTTTCAAGTCTATGTGCTGAACACTTTGCATTATTCTTTTAACACATCATCTTTTTAAATTCTGCCTATTCCATCAGCCTGTTGAACTTCAGGTCTGCTGTCATCTAATTTATAAATGTCCTCATTTATCTCAATGAAAATGATTTAAGTAGGAGTACAACAACGTGCCATACAGACTTTTTTTTTTTCAACACACTGTGTTCCAGGCTCTGGAGTAACTATGCTGTGACCTAACACATACTCATCTTCCCCTGGAAGACATCATATGCAAACTGATCAACATCTTTGCCAAAATGCAGTACTTTTTGCACAGATTCCCACAGTCTGGCTAATTAGTAACCTAAACATCAAAGTAGAAATTGGTATGAGTTTGTCCTGATTTGTTCGTTTTATTCTTTCAAAACATTCATTAAGCAGTGTCCACGTGAGAGGTGCCGCGCCCGCAGCTGGAACTTCACCAGGACACAGGACAGAGCAATGCCTCCCCTTCAGCTGGCAGTCTAATGAGAAACTGCAAAGCTCCTTGCTGCCTGCTAGTCAGCAACACATTCCTTGCTGAGTGCTCCAAAGCTCCCAGTGTTTAAAAACACTCCTACTCGAAACTTTGGCCAGCTCTAAAAAACAAAGGGTGAAGGACATGGCTTCATCTTTCCAAACTCAAATGGCCAGTTAATGACGAAGTTTGGCATCATTTGATCAAGAATAAGAGTACATGAAATTAACAAAATGCTGTCTAAAGAAAGTTCAAGAATTTTCTTTTGTAAATAAATGAAGCAAAGCAGGGAAACAAAGACTATCATAGTAAGCCTAGAACATTCAAAACTAGTGTACACCAATGCACGAACCAGGCAGATAAATTTCACTTAATGAAATTCATAATATTCTCTCTTATTATGTTTGCAAATTCACTATTATCACTAGGGGCATAGCTTATTTTTATGTTCCAGAACGGAAGTCCAGGGTCTAAATCCTTGAGTCTCTGGCAATCAGGTTTAAATGTCTGCCTCTTTAATCACAAGGTCTGTAACTATAAAATCCATAGCTCTAGTCCTGCCTTTACAGTTCCCTCACAAACTATCAAGGGTGTTGCTTCTTCAGAATGGCAAGAACGGCACGTAGCAACAGGGAACAAATTCCAGTTCCTCTGGAAAAGCTGACTTGGGGTTGTTTCCTGCCAACGCAGGGGCAACGAGGAACCCACTGATTTTCAGCTAAATAGTCATAAATTACATCTTCCCGTAGTGTCCATATCATAAGAAGAGCTCATTTTCCAAGGTTCTTTTCAAAAATCTATATACTACCACACTTACTGTGCTTAACATTGAAAATAACAAAAGAAGCATACTGATTTGGGATTAATGTGGTTTTAAGTCCATTCATTCAAGACTTTAATCAGGATGGTAATACAGAAAATAAAATCATGATATGTACTGTTAAATTAACATGAGCGGTTCTTTAGCTCTATGGGAGAAAAAGTGATTTCCTGCATAAGTTTGAAGATATAATTAAACATATATTTCATTTCTCTTTCAAGAATGTTCTTTTGAGCCCACCTGATACAGCTGTGGGGAAAGCAGTGGGCAGCTTCCGGGAAAAAGGAAAACTATTTGGTTCTTTATAAGCTGCTTTCTGGTTTTTCAAATTTTATTTTCATCTTTCCACCTTGCCTTCTTTGTCTGGATATTATTTGAATTAGAAATTAGTGTTTTACTGGAAAAAATGTTGCTACAAGGAAAAGAATTAAATAGCCATAGTAATGAAAGCTCCTCTAATTGCTTTCTAGTTAGCCAAGCATTTCTGTTGACCCTTGCACTGTGTTTCTGGGCAAAGCTGTTATTAGAGAAAAACTACATAGTTACAACTGCAAATTACTTTCCTTAAAGAAATAAAAGCTCCAACTATTTCTACATCTCAGAGAAATATAAGTGTTACTGAGCATGGGGGCCCAGATTCTGAAAAAGATCATCACACTGAGAGCTTTTGATTATATCAGATTTAATAGGAAATTATTCACAACATATATCAAAAATAAGAACAAAAATGCTAAATGTTACATTTATATAGTAAGTATATTCATAGATTTATGAATATATATTTATTTAAATAGTCACATTTTATGTCGTATAACTAATAAGTATGAAATAGCCTGTAATTTATAAATAAAACTGCCCATGACTCAACTTACTTACTTACCCTATGAAACAGCAGGAGAAAATATGTTCCAACAATTACAATATTTTGCTTTGACTACATGTTCATATGGGAATTCTCTTCGGCACAAAAAGCAATATGTCTTTCTATCACTTTCCCTTATTTACTATGCTGAGTCTAAACATTAAAAATTAGCAAAGAAAAATTTTTTCGGTGTATTTGAAACATTTGCAACTCTCAAAAACAAGTAATCCAATTTTAAATGGACAAAAGATGTCAATAGACTTTGCTTAAAAGAAGACATATGCATGGCCAACAGATTTCTGAGAAAAATGCTCAATACCACTAATCATCAGGGAATACAAATCACAATCACAGGAGAGGCCACTTCACTGCAGTTGGAATGGCTGTTATCAAAAAAAAAAGGGGGGGGGGTGGTGGATGGGCCTTTGGCTGGAGCCCCAGGAGAAAGAGCTGCAGAGGACCTGGAGCCAAAAGTGGAAGCCAACCCTTGGAGGTACTGGAGTTGCTCCAAAAGGCGCTGAAGGACACTGCCCTGGTGTTGGAGAGCTTTAAGAAGAGGAACAATTAAGGAGATTGGCATCCTCAATCATGCTTGTTCCAAGCTCAAGCAGCAGAAGACCCTCACCACGGAAGACAAGGGGGCTGAAGCAAGGCTGGGCAGCCAAGCCCCTTTGCATGCACTTAGCAGTCTGAGACTTAGGTCCATGATCTTACCTCAGATGCAATAAAGAATTGCAGGACAGAATGCAGGTAAAGTTCAGAAGATAAGCAAGATTTACTTGCAAGCAAAGCAAAAGTACACACTCAAGAAGTGCAGCTATACTCAATAGAGAGCTGCATTCATCAAGATTCAGGTCCATCGCTTTATATGACCTAGCGGCACAGTGGATGGTGTTTTGGGTGGGGTTTAATTGAATATTCATAAGGGATGGATGCGAGGTGGGATTTGAGTACTGTCCATTCCTTGCCCTTTTCTGGAAATCTCAGAAGTGTCATAGCGGCTCTGGTGCTGGCATCCCATATGGGTGCCGGTTCAAGTCCCAGATGCTCCACTTCTGATCCAGTTCTCTGCTATGGCCTGGGAAAGCAGCAGAAGATGGCCAAAGTCCTTGGGCCTCTGCACTCACATGGGAAACCGGGTAGAAGCTCCTGGCTCCTGGCTTTAGATGGGCACAATCTCCAGCCGTTGCAGCCATCTGGGCAGTGAACCAGTAGATGGAAGACGTCTCTCTCTCTCTTTCTCTCTCTCTGTGCCTCTCTGTAGCTCTGCCTTTTAAATAAATAAGTAAATCTTACAAAAAATAAGTACCATAGATCAGGTTCATGATGGGAGTAGGAGTGTCATCCATGGTACTTTTACAAATGATTAGTAAAAAGTCATCATAGGGCACAGCCGGGAGCCATGTCAGTTACTTTTAGCTGGACTGGCTCTAAACAGTGGTTTCACAGAAGCTGAGGTTTCTACTGCACAGAAAGGGAGGCAGGACAGCAGGTGGGTCTCCAGAGAGAGCCTGGAAACCTCTGGCTCCTAAAGAGCTACCTCCTTACCTGTATCAATCTGACCTGCACTGCTCAGTGTCCAGAGGAGAGGGAGGACCATCTGGGCTCCTGCATTCCCCCACAGAGCAGAGCAGATGTGCCTGCTCAACCAGAGGCTTTAGGTTAGGAATGAGACAAACACAAATATAGCCCTCCTCAGCTCTAAAGAAGATACTACAATGAGTTGTTCTGTGTACTTTGATTCTTAAACATTGGTGTAAATAGATTTTTGTATTCATACACACACATGCACACGCACAGAGAAAGACAAAAGGTAACAGGCTGTTGAGGTAAGGATGTAGAAAAAAGTAATGCTTACACACTGTTGGTGGGAATGTAAATTAATACAGCCACTATAGAAAACAGTATGAGGTTCTTTTAAAAATTAAAATAAAACTACCATATATTTCATCTATGCCACTCCTTGGTATATACCCAAAGGGAATACCAAAAAGACATCTGTACTCACATTTTCATTGTAGCATTATTCACAATGAACTAGATATGGAGTTAACCTAAGTATCCATCAGTAGCTGAGTGAGTAAAGAAAACGATACCAAGTATGCACAGTAGAATATTATTCAGTCATTTAAAAAGATGAAGGCCTATCACTTGTGACAACATGGGTGGACCTAGAAGACATTATAATTAAGTGAAGTAAGCCTACAACAGAAAGACAAATGCTGCATGATCTCACTGAAATGTGAGTTCTTAAAAACTTAATTTCATAGAAGTAGAGTAGAAGTGGTTACCAGATGCTAGACAGGAGAGGGGAGAGGGAGAGATAAGCAGAGTGAGGTAAATAGGTACAAAATTATGGCTAAGAAAAACAAGTTAACAAGTTCACTTTGCACAGTATTATGGCCAAGGTCAAAATTAATGTCTATTTCAAAATAGCTAGAAAAAATATTTCAGGTGATGGGTACATTAATTACTGTCATTTGATCATTATATAGTTTACACATGTATCAAAACATCACATTGTACCCTATAAACTTGTATAATTATGTCAATTAAAAATAAAATATTTATAATGCATGTCAATTAAAAATAA